ATCTTCATGTTTTTGTGTGTGCGCGCACACCCAGAGTCATTCGAGCACTGATGTTATTGATCTGAACTTCTGGAGCTCATGATGATGATGATGTTATGGACTGATATTAGACAGGAGGATCATGACAGACTGAGTTCTGATGTCTGATGAGAAAATCCAGTTAGACACAGAGCTGAGACACACACACACACACACACACACACACAAGTGAAGTTTGCAGAGTTACCGTTTCCGTTTGAAGGGAGACTTTGGCATGTCTGTGACCGGGATCATCTGCTCTCCGGGTCGAACCCACATGATGGGCCCATCGTCACTGTCTGTCGGGCTCTTCAGCTTCAGACTGGAGAACGTCCCCCACGGCAGCGTCCGCTACACACACACACACACACACACACAGGTCAATATGCTGCTGCCAAAAGAAAAGTGTGTGTGAAAGAGAGACAGAGGAAAACACACCTCCAGGAAGGGCGACTTCTCCAGCATATTGAGGAACTCTGGGAAATAATCGCCCACCTCCTCGTCCACGGCGCCCACCAGACTGATCTGCCTCATAGCACCGGCGCGGTACGTCCCGTGAGAGTAACTCCTCCTCACCTGAACACACACCACATCTCCGCTGTCAAATGCCATGGTTTCTAGATCTTATTTGTCTGATAAAAGTCCATAAAAATCTCTTGAAATACAATAAAGTATATTCAGAGCAAAATTATTATCCGAAGTGCTGAGACATTTGCTTGTTTTTCATCTACAGGTAAAGATTTACAACAATAATTAGTTCCCATTTTTGCATTGGTCTGAAGACAAACAGTAGACAGAATGAATGAGAATGTAACTCCACTGTCTGACAGCAGGTGGCGCTGATGTAACAGCAGGAATAGAGCCGTTTCCCCAGTAACCGCTGTAAACAAAGCAGCACTGCACTTACAAACACTGCTTTGTTAGGCCTGATCAGACAGAAGGTGGTTTTTAGGTTTGAAAATGCGAGGCGCACTGCACTGACTTTTTTTAGTTGACTTATTTAATTTAGAAAAAAAGTGTTCTGTCAATCTAATCAGGGGTTATAGCGTGAGTGCTCTAGAATCTTTGGTTTTCTGTTAAGTGAATGGTCATATTACCAGAAACTTTAAACACTGCGGTTCGTGAAGTCAGCTCCGGGTAACCTGCAGCAGCCAGCACAAGTTTCTCCATCACTGCAGTCTCCTAACGTTCCAAGCAACCGTAAACTTCTGTCACCACAACGATCTCCAATCATTCGATTGAACAATGGAAAAAATGCGAATGAAGATGGCGCTTTTTTTTTTTCAACTTCAGGTGGTCAGAGCTTTCCTACCAAAACACGAGGCACAGCAGGCGGCTAAAACACTAGGCGCCTGGGGCACATAAACAGCGCACAAAACGCTCACTGCCAATAGAAAACTATTTATAAAAAAAGGTGCCTCTCCCTAGAGACCTGCGCGGGATGGATTTTTCAGTCCCGCTCCCATAGAAATATGTTATCTTGTCCTGCTCCCGCCCGCAAAACCCTCATAAAAGCAACCTATACAGAATTTTTCAGTACATCCATGAAATTTACATTAACTCTGTAGCATCTCCTAAGTTCCACAGCATACCAGTATAAACGCTCCTGATAAAATATTTATTTAGGCTAAGCATCAACATTCACAAAGCACTGAACAGAAAAGCAAGCATGGGCTGCTGCATGCATGGTTTGGCATGGCAGAATGCGAGCAAACAGGCTCTCTTTATTATCACTAAAAAGCTGACATCTCAGTTCATCGCGATCTCATAAAACTCAGTTATAACACAACGAATATATGCACAATGAATCTTTCACAATGTCTACACTGTGTGTTATGAGAGGATTCGTGAGCATGCATGCAAATTTCAGCATTGCCGGTGACTGCGCAAGAACTCCAGGGTTTTGAGCGGTGAGTGGATTCTAACTTAATCACCTGTGATTGGCCATTGCATATTTATAAAAAAGGTGCCTCTCCCTAGAGACCTGCGCGGGATGGATTTTTCAGTCCCGCTCCCATAGAAATATGTTATCTTGTCCTGCTCCCGCCCGCAAAACCCTCATAAAAGCAACCTATACAGAATTTTTCAGTACATCCATGAAATTTACATTAACTCTGTAGCATCTCCTAAGTTCCACAGCATACCAGTATAAACGCTCCTGATAAAATATTTATTTAGGCTAAGCATCAACATTCACAAAGCACTGTAACAGAAAAGCAAGCATGGGCTGCTGCATGCATGGTTTGGCATGGCAGAATGCGAGCAAACAGGCTCTCTTTATTATCACTAAAAAGCTGACATCTCAGTTCATCGCGATCTCATAAAACTCAGTTATAACACAACGAATATATGCACAATGAATCTTTCACAATGTCTACACTGTGTGTTATGAGAGGATTCGTGAGCATGCATGCAAATTTCAGCATTGCCGGTGACTGCGCAAGAACTCCAGGGTTTTGAGCGGTGAGTGGATTCTAACTTAATCACCTGTGATTGGCCATTGCATTGCAGAAATTAACAGATCTGTCTGTGATTGGCTACATTGCTCAACGCTTTGAACACGTGTTTTAGGTGGAGGCTCTGCCTATGCTTGCGCCTGTTAATAATTTTTTACTTTATATTAGTTGTTGTTGTTGTTGTTGTTGTTTTTGTGCAATAGATGAATAACAATTTATATGTTTTTAGATATTTTATGTTTAGATATTTATTTTACAGGAGTCCCGCGATTCATTTTATTCTCCCGCATCCCGCACACACAAGAGTTTCTACCAATAAAACTCGTGACTAAACTATAAAGATGCTCTAAAGACAACAAGTCGCTGAGCAGTCTCTTTGTATCGCTTTCCTTCTGATCTCAACATTAGAAAACAGTGGATGAACTTTATTTTTAATAAAGTTCCAGTCCGCGTCAGTAAGAACTTGGTCCAACTGTTTTCATTACATGATCACTATTGCTTTGTCTTTTATCACAGATCTTTTGATATGTTCTGAGTATTTATTCGTTTTTTACTTAAATCACAGCAGGATGTAGGCTGTCAAAAAAACACAACTGTTATCCAATCATCACAGTGGGCATTTACGTGTCATTCTCCGCTGTGCGTTCATGAGGGTAACACGATGCATGCGTGTGGTGCTGCTGACGCAGGAGCCGGCGTTCTGTCGTAGAGCACGCATGCGCTGCACATTGTTTACGAGCAGAGGAATGCACACGCATGCGTCATGGTACTGTCGTGAACACACAGAGAATGACTCGGAAGAGAAGAAATTGTTGAATGAAGTCATTATTTTTGTTTTCTTTGCGCACAAAAAGTATTCTCGTAATCATGAGATATGATACGGTTAAACCACTGATGTCACATGGACCATTTTATCAATGTCCTTACTCAGGCACGTGCACACATAAACATCAAAGGGGGCTTGAGCACCTGCCCTTTTTCTTCCTCGAGAGAAAGTGCCCTTTTTTTCTGGGTTTTCTTTTTTATGATGATATACATATATTCATTTATTTTTTTTATTTGAGGTGTTTAACAAGTGCCATGAAGATGACTTGTTACAAGTGGCTGACTTTTTTAATATTTCAGTTTCCAGACACGCGACTAAACGTAGTATTAAAACTGATTTGCAAAAGGTTTTGGTAGATCAAGGAATTTTACCTGATGAGTCTGAGGAGGGTTGAGCTTCCGTTGGCAATTCAATTGAAAGAATTAGACCTACTGGTTAAAAAGCAGGAATACGATAATCAGATGTTGCGGTTGCTTGAATTAGAGATTGATCGTGAACGAGAGCGTAGGTCATTTGTTCCACAGTTCTTGTCTGATAATGTTCCGGTGACCCCTTCTCCTTTGCCTGGGAGGTCTCCGGCAACATCTCTGTCTGCCCCAGCTGCTTCGATTCCTGGTGATGGAGCAGGGGTAGCAGATTTTGATGTTAGTAGGTATATCAAATTGGTTCCAAAATTTCGTGAAGCAGAAGTAGATTCCTATTTCACAATGTTTGAACATGTAGCTGTGAAACTTCGGTGGCCAAAAGATATGTGGGCTTTACTCCTACAATGTAATTTGGAGGGTAAAGCCCAGGAAGTTTGCTCTTCTTTGCCCATTGAACAGTCATTAGATTATGACATTGTTAAAACTGCCGTGTTTAGAGCTTATGAATTGGTACCTGAGGCGTACCGCCAGAAGTTTCGGGACTATGTGAAATCAGCCAAACAAACATTCGTAGAATTTACCAGAGAGAAGGGTAATCTCTTTGACAAATGGTGTTGTTCTAGTAAAGTGTCCACATTTGAGCAACTTCGAGAGTTAATTTTGGTAGAGGATTTGAAAAGTTGTTTGCCGGAGAATATTGTTGTGCACTTAAATGAGAAAAAGGTGACTAAGCTGTCTGATGCTGCTGTTGTCGCCGATGAATTTGTGCTAACGCACAGAAGTGTTTTTCCTTCTGTGCGCCGGAGAAATCGATCTCCTGCTGACGATACCGTTACGGATTCGGTTTGGGCAGGTCATTCAAAATCAGAGAGTTTGTGCAAGCCTGATTCAAAACATACGGGTGACAAGCGTGTATGTTTTTATTGCCTGGACCCAAATTATCTAATTTCTGACTGTGAAGATTGGAAGCAGAAAAGTTTGACATCCGAGACTAAAGGAGTTGCGCTTGTACAGTCTCTGCCTACGGTGAATGATGCTGAAGTGGCATCTTTTCAACCTTTTCTTCTGTCTCGTTCTGTATCCCTGTTTGAGTCTGACTTATGACCAATCTCGATTTTAAGAGATACGGGATCAGCTCAATAATTCATACTGGGGAGTATTCTGTCTTTCTCCACTAACTCCTATGCTGGCACTGATGTGTTGGTATGCAGAATTGAGATGGCTTGTGTTAATAATCCTCTTCATCATGTTAACTTGAAGTCTGATCTTGTAAACTGCCCTGTTAAATTAGGAGTATGTGAACAGCTGCCTATTGCTGGAGTTGATCTTATCTTGGGAAACGACCTCACAGGTGGTGAAGTCTTTCCATCTTCTATCGATGTACACAACATTAGTGTTATTGAGCAGCCTGACACTACTAGTCAGTGCCCTGAGTTGCCTCCTGGCATAGTGATGCATTCACAGTCACAGGGACTTAGGGATGTTTTTGACCCTTCTGAAGAGTTTATGCTTCCAGTGACTATTCCTGTAGAGGATGAACCGTCTGTTAAGCCTGAACTTTGTTCAGAACCAGTGATGGTACCCATGATCTCTTTAGAAGTCAGAGAATTGTGTTAATGTTGACTTGGAAACTAGGAAAGTATCCATCTCTAGTGTACCTTGCTTCTATGGAAAGGGGTTGATTGTGAGTGAATGGAAGAAAATGTTGTCACTGCCCTTCAGTCTCCTCTCCCCTTTATCAAATGGGTATTACAGTGTTTTTTATGCTTGTATGGTTCACATCCAGGATTTAGTTATGAGTTGTTTGTTGTTGCTCCTTTTATTAATGTGCTCGGTGTTTACAGAAAATGTATTGAAACTACTGAGTGTGAACGTGCAGAGAATTTTTTTTTGAGACTTTGTTATCTCCGTTTCTAATGGCATTCTGCC